GTCTCCACGTCGATTATTTAAATAATAAAAAATAAACAATATCGAACACGGAATTAATTCCGGAACTATCTACTCAACCAATTCATAATGCAATACCCGCACACTGTGTCAGTGATGGAACTCCGCTACCCGATCAACATGCAGAGACCACTCAATCACATGCTTAGAAGCCGCTCTCCACAATGGCCAACTCCCTCATCGCATTAACTGGACGATGGTAGGCTGAACGTGCACCGCGAATGCACATTATGGCTGCCCTGAGCAAAGCGAAGGACAAGCGACACCGCACATAGGCCATTAGCTGGGCATACGGTCGATCGGCAGTTGCCAGCAATGCACACAACCGCTTAATAAATGCAGTACACTCCAGAGCGCAACAACCCGCCGTGGTAAAGACTAGAGGGGTAAATGAACCACGGTCGACATTGTTGATACGCTCGGCATACTCACTCTTCTTGCGGCGCTCATGTTGCTTCAGAAGATCACTGACGGGCTTGCTCTTGTATGATGCTGCATCCGGGTGAAAGACCCGGACATCGAAGAACGCATTCTGAGCCCGGGTCCAGAACCCACGAGCTCGGACATCAGCGCGGGCGTCGTTCGCGGTGTTTGTTGATGCCGATAAAAACACTTTGCCTGTGATCGGAGCAAGTACAGGCTCGACTGCCACATCTGAGCATACCTCCGTCAGAAGATCCGCCACGATATCTCTTACTTCATTGTGGCGAATTGTCGGGAAACCTCCGCGGGGGCAAATCATCGCATGCGTGGCGTCGAACGGCTCCCCACACACACAGCTCGCTGGTGTGTCCAAGAGAGACCAACCATAGCGGAGAGCTAGAGCATCGCGGAAGTCTCCCTTGGACAGATGGTGACCATGGTCTGCCAGAGGCAATACCCCGAGCCAACTCGACACGCCTTTCGTGGATAAACTCTCCAGCCGACGAGCCAGGGCAGGAGACGCACTGCTCTTGATCGTGACGAAATCATTCTGCTCCCTCTGACAACGGTCATGCGCTAGCCGTGTCTTCTCGCTTAGGGCTGCCTGGCGAACATCCTTCGTGGAGTTATGGGTGTATTGAACATCATTCTTGTGTACAATCTCCTCCACCTGAAGGGCCGTTACAGCTCTCGACTCAGGGAGCTCTGCCGTACCCATTTGCTGAAAACACGGCAGGGCCATCCCCCCAGTCGACAGGGCAGGCGGAGAAGGCTCAATTCTTCTAGTAGGAAGGAATCACGGCCCGCTAGAGCAGGTAGAAGCTCCTCCGTGATCACCTTGTCAAGGTCGGTAAGGCATTGTGCAGGGAAAGGTACTGTACGCAATAGGTAGGTCCACCTACCACGTAAACCATGAGATATTGCAGCATAGGCAGCATGTGGCTCCGTTTTTGCAATCTCTGTAAGCTTCTTCAGCTCTTCCTTCCACTTCGCCACCCGTTGCTGCACACTTTCCGCGACCGCCTCTTCCGATCCAATCTCGGAGCCGAGATAACGCAAGCTCCCCGTGACAATCCGGATCCCTGTCCCGGCAAACACTTGGCGTGCTTCCTGCTCCAGCTCTGGCTTGACAAGGAGCTGGGTCTTTTCGGAGTTCGTGAAGTATCCGTATCGCCGTCCAATTGCCTGCAGCTCGTCCCACCACCACCGGATCTGTCTCAGCCTACCTGCTCCGCTGGAATCATCCGCATACCAGCTCTGCCGGATTGATGTGTGCTGCTCCTGGAGACGAGTGATGATCGGTATGGTGGCAACTGCGTAAAAGGCCATGGAGAGGGGGTCGCCCTGAGTGGTTCCCTCACTCGACTTGACTTCCCCTCCACCTGCAACAAATAAACGTGCAGCCGTTTGATAGGAGTTCATGATGACGCTGGAGAGGGCAGGACATAGCCGCTGGACATTGTGTAGCGCCGCTTCTCAGTTCAAGCTGTTAAATGCATTGCGAGCATCCACCAACAGCACTCCATCTGTCTCCTCGTCATTGTAAATCTGCTGCACCGCATGCACGGCCGCCTCTATCCCAGCTGGTTGGCCCGCAGACTTCTGGATAAATCCGCAGGCTTTCTCAATATCCGGGGCTGCGACACGAAGTACCGCCTTAGCAACAATGCGCCTCAGCACCTCGCCAACCCCGATTGGGCGGACCCCAGGCTTCTTGTCCAGTGCAATTAGCCGACCAGCAAGAAATGGAATGAGGCCCTCCGATGGTATGACACGGGTCGCAAGCAAGCGGGCGCAATCAGCCATTGCTTCGCAAAGGCGTGTTGAGGCTCCTTTGAACGCCAAACACATGCGGCGCCAGGCAGCAGCATCCAGACCGGAAGGGCCAGCGGAGCCTTCTGTGTGCTCGGCGATAGACTTGAGGAGATCCGGGGTCAATGGGTCAAATCGAATTCCGTCCACCTCGGGGGGCTGTCCACTCAACAAGACTTCCGGGCTGGCAGCCAGCCTCTCTGGGTGCTTCTCCTGAAGAAGGTCCCTGACCGAGCTTCGGGTGCCGTCCTTTAGAGTGACCATGTCGTCTATTTTGAGCACTCCACTGTCATCATTCCCGCTATCCAATGAGCGCAGTGCATCGTGTACTCTTCCCTTCCTCATGTGTTCAGCAAACATGCGGGCTCTGTCACTCTCTCCTTGCCTCCGGCCACCCGGCCTAGAGCGAAACAAGGTGTCCTGCAGGCAACGGCCCTCCGCAAGCAGTGCATCCAAATCACCGCCCCGCCACAAAGCCATCCGCCTCTGAAGATGGTCAGCGTTAGCCTTAGCTTTGCTCTTACTGTGAGTCACCTGCAACATCAACGATGGCAAGACCGACAGATTATACATAGCACTCGCATTGGTGCCTGCCGAGTCAACGAAACTGCGAAGTTTTGCGGCAATGAGATTGACAAAATCCTTTCCAACGGACCCTGTTGGAATCTTGAAAAATCTCTTCCTCCAATGTACAACCTCGTCAAACGCAGAACTGATTGCTGGGCTGGGCGGATCTAGCCGAGGTACAGGTCCCGACGGGCCCGACTGGCTAGAATGGTAGGAGGAAACTCTCTCCCGAGGTGGATCGGGCACAGAGTTAGCCTGACTCCCCAGCAAATCAACTGAAGGTGCCGTAGCCACTAGCGGTGGCATGTCCTGGCTTAGTGTTGACGCTGACGAAGATGAAATTTCATGTACTCCATAGCGCTGTGTTTGCGGCTCAGAATTTTCACTGCTGGGGTACACTCTCCTCACCCATGCAGGGGCTGATTGCGCCAGTCAGCACCGCGGTCATGGTCGCTAGTCACACCATGACCATGACTGGCAGGCTGAAGCGCTGAGCTATCACCACCCAGACTATCAGGTCGGCTGTTAATAATAGCGCCGACATTAGCGCTGCCACTCAGACCATCGCTCTGGCTGTAGGAAGAGCCAGCTCCGAAACCAGGAGGGGCAGCGACACCTCTTGTCCTGTTTCGACACGTTGATGGAACGTTGCGACTTGGATAGCAATCCACACATGGGTTGTTAGAAATCTTGCACGCACATCTCTGGCACTTCCCTGTTAGTTGACACTGACAGCAAGGCATTACTGCTACAGGAGACGCCAGCTGGAGTAGGGATGCCGGCACGTCAAACAGGCGCGAAGACTGGTGATTTCGCTCAGACCTGGACGCCAGAAGCTGGTCAGACTCTGCTAACACAAAGTATGAACATAAACCAAAGAAAAAAGAGAACAAAACCCAACACAACACGGGAAAACAACAGCAGAGTAGCGATCTCATCCGAGTCTTCTTCCCCAGCTTCTCCTCCAGCCTCCAAGCAAATCCAGCACACCGTCAGAGCTCCAGCTCCATCTGATGATCCGTTGCTTGAACGGTGAAACACTGTGTAATGGAATTTGATCTCTGACGGTTTTTCCGCTTGTGTGCAACACTATAATTATATTGAAATTATAGTAAAAAAGTACCAGGGAACTACAATAATAATAATAATAATAATAATAATAATAATAATAATAACACAGTTGCGCGTAATGGAACATTAATATTGTGCAACACTAATGTTCGGTCCGCTGCTGTCTCTTGATGAGTCTTTCCGTTGTTCTAGTTCAGTATCATTAGTTGTAGACCATCGCTCTCCATGCTGGTTTGTCCCTTGCCCGCTCAGTCGCCAGGCCGAGATCCCGCACTGTGGTGAAAGTCATTCCAGCCTCTCTCATGTCCTCCGCAACGCTGGTTGCCAACGTCTTTCTTGGGCGCCCTGGCCGGCCTCAGGAGTCTTGGGTCAAGTAGATGTTCATGGCTTTGCGGGCGGGCGTGTTGGGGGACATTCTCAGGATGTGTCCTGTCATTCTCCTCCTCGCTGTCTAATCAGGGTGGATACTGGGCACGTTTCACAACGTTCATACAGGCGTTCATTGCTGACTTTGTCTTGCAGCTTGATACCCAGGATGCATCGAAGTTGCTTTCTGTGGAGCACGTCAACCTTGGAGAGGTTTCCCGACGTCAATCCCCACGCCTCAAAGTTGTATAGGAGACTCGGAACTACAAGTTACGCTATAATGTCCACTAAGGCAACCAGTTACTAAACAATCAGCTCATGCCATACCTGGAAGTGTTAGTAGACATTATGGCGTAACGTGTTGTTTCTTGGTCCTTTTCTTCACTATTTATTAATCCTTGGCTCACCATCCGAACCTATGTATTTAAAATCTCTGTTTTTTTGTGCAGTGACTGCATTCCTGAAGATGAGAATTTCCTGAGATTCCGTTGATTTTCCTATGTTTTCTTCTTTTTCAGTGATTGGTGCACCAAAACAATTCACGGTTCGCGTTAGACTCGACTGGAAACCGAATTTTCCGCATCCGTAGGAACGCCATCACCCATCAGGGATCAAGGCGCTGATGCAGCCCCTAAGGGCCGGGTTCCACTGTGGTATTGTTATACACCCGCTATCCGTCGGGATGCATGCATTGTGATGACAAAAGATTTGCTCTACTTGTGTCTATTGGTGTTGCCGTCCAGAAAGCAGACGTCCGGGAGAAGACCTGGATCCCCGCACTGTATACCTCGACAGGCACAGCATTCCCGCAGCGTCAGCCAGCCGAATCAACTATGTTCAAGCTGGAACTGGAGTAGATGAAAATATCGGTAAGCTTAGCTGGTATCCTCTTGCCCACACGTAGTCTGGAGAGATAGGATAGTATGGGTAGTGTGAGACAGAACACGGCAGAGAGTGCTTGCTGGACAGACCAGACCGACGAGGGAGAGAGGGAGAGAGGGAGAGGGGGAGAGGGGAAGAGGGGGAGAGGGGGAGAGGGGGAGAGGGGAGAGGGGGA